AAGTGAGCTAAATAATAATAAAATGTTAGTGGAAAAATTTTAACACTCAGAAAGTGAGCTAAATAATGAAAAAATGTTAGTGAAATATTTTAATGTTTAATTTTACACTTGGCACCCCATATTCTTGATTGTAAAATCAGCTGTTTATTGTGCAATAAAGAGTTTTACAGAATCCACACTGGTGTTTTTTTCTGCTTTTGTCTCCATATGGAGGTAAATGTATCTTTATTGATGAAACAAAGAAAGAAAGTTGTTTTACTCAGTCTTGATCCTGATCATGCCGACAACCTTAACAGATCATAAAGTAATTGTACTAACTTTAAACTTGTCTCAATATAAGGAATAAATATAGAAATTGGCTCTAAACAAAAAAGGAAAGAAAGACAGATGAAAATGGTTTAATAGTTAAACCAAATTTCTTTATCTATATTGTCAGAAATTTGTCTGAACCAAAGCAAGCAGAGCTTTTAACCTTACGTCTAAAACCTGATCAATTATACATCCATAAAGCTAAAGTAGCATTTGTACACGAGAGTGAAGTGGTCAGAAGAGGGTGAACAAAATTCTACTTACTTTTTTTTAATTAGAAAGACAAAACAAAAGTAACACAAGTAAACTCTCCTCAAATGGCAATATTTTAGAAAATCCAAAAGAAATWTCTAACATTTGTGAAAACCTTTATAAAACTTTATATACTTCAAACATTTCACACAATCAAATGGATGATTTCTTTTACAAGCTATAGGCAATATTAAGACGATAAGAGAAATAGATCAATACGTGATTCAACCATAACTCTTAATGAAATTTCTGATTTCATAAAACTCAAATGAAATAAATCTCCAGGCACCGATGGGCTAACCTGAATTTTCTAAATGATTTTCAACTCAACTTGCTCCCTTTTTGTTAAATGTTTTTACAGAAAGTATATGTCAAGGCTTAATTACACTAATTCCAAACCACAAAAAGATATATAGTTTTAGACAACTGGCGCCCCATCACATTACTTGATAACAATAATAAAATTGTAGCATTATGCTTGGCAAATAAATTGAAAAAAAGCACTGTTGTTATCGAGGATTCTCAATACGGTTTCATGGCTGATTTTATATATATATATATATAGACAATATAAGACTTATCTTAGACTTATTGGATTATTCATATTTTAAAAAATGGTTTCATTCTGTTTCTTGACATTCATAAGGACTTTGATTCACTGGACCATGGATTTTTATTTAAAACTGGAGTTATTTGGCTTTTGGTGAGCATTTAGCTCAATTAAGTTATCCCATGGGACCACTTATAGATGCAATGTTGAACATGGAATTAGACAAGGTTGTCCAATRTTTCCTTTTCTTTTCCTTCCTTCAATGCAAATTTTAGCACAATCCATAAAGAATAGCTGTTTAAAAGGCATTCAAATCACAGGCAGAGAAATATGTCTGAACCAACTGGCAGATGATACGACTTTATTTTTTAAGAGAYTGCACCCAAATAGATTATGTTATTAGGCTGCTAAATAAATGTTCTTTAGCTTCAGGGCTCAAACTTAATAAATCCAAATGTGAATTGTTTGTTTCCCAATAAAACTGGTCATGAGGCTGAGATTTCAGGAATTCCTKTAAAGCACAAAGTTATCTAGGTATTTTTTATTATAGAAAAAGAGAATCAGAGATTAAGTAATCATTTTAACCATCTCATTACTTTAATTCAGAAAAAAAAATGTATTTATGGGTCTCACTTTCCAAAACAAAGAATTTGCAATTGTGTTGGAAGCTAGTCCAAATGTCTGCTTCTGTACAAGAGATGAAATTTTATTTATTGTGAACTCTGACCCCTTTTTAAGTAAAACAAACAAACAAAACAAATAAATGTATTAGAGATCTGATAATAAGGAACTGTATTACTAAACCTGCTTCTGTATTCGTCTGGAATAATTTATTTAAGGATATTTGTTGGGAAAATGTTTGGTTGTTACCTAAAAAGTATTTCACAACAAATAAAATTCAAGAAGTGTGCATAAAGATTCTGCATAGATGCGATCCTGTCAGTAGTGTAATCTCCAGGTATTGTTCAATCACCCACCTTTTTTTAGGACTGTCCCTATACTCATTTATTTTGGAAAGACAAATTTTTAATTATGAATAGAAAGTTTGATACACCGTTTAATTGTAAAACTATACTATTTGGCTTCATTTGTATGAAAACTCCAGTTTTAGTTGTAAATCTTATTCTATTACTAGCTCCAATTCATATCCACAGTTGTAAATTTTCTAGACTAAAACCCAGATTTGCATTTTATCCCTATTTATTTTCTTATATCCACTTTAAAAGACATAAACACTTTGTAATGAACTTCATTTGTAATCTGCCCATCTTTTTTACTTCTTTAAATCAACATGTATTTTTTGATATTTTCATGCTGYGTTAAGCCTCGACCAGTTGTTGCTGTTGCAAGCATTGATCTGTATGGTTGCAAGAATTTGTTGTAAATACTTGTTATAAATAAAGATAAAAAAAATGTCATGAAGAAATTTAGTGTTAGGTAGGTTAGTACTGATTTTAGAAGCACAACACTATATTCTTAAGTTCTACTTTTTGAAATATTGACTGTGTTTAATCTATTGTTATGTCTTGATTGAAATAGGTCTAATTACATGTCCGGAACATTTTTTCAACACAAAAATAAACGCTTGAAATACAGCGGGTAAAATAAGTATTGAACACGTCAACATTTTTCTCAGTAAATATATTACTAGAGGTGCTAATAACATGAAAATTTCACCAGATGTCGGTAACAACCCAAGTGATCCATACATACAAAC